CTCAATGTAAATGGGGCACCTTAAGGTATTAATAAGTTTGTTTTCAAGATTAAAATTCAGTATGTCAGTCCGAGGCTCGCCCGGACAAAATTACCAAGAAACATGAGGCTCGCCCAAAAGAAACGTCGAACCAAACCAAGTATTGTGATGTATTGTGGTAAAACAACTGCACACATCCATGAAACCCCGTAGACTGAACATGGCAACAACCATCGCTAATGAATAGTAATAATGAATATGTTTATGTGTGTCATGGATCTTGTCAACCACTTAATGTTCGAATAATGTTGCCTTCACCAAAGCCGCTTCCCCAATCCCTCTCTTTTTCCCCCACACTCATCGCTCAGTTGGCAGTGGTGTCTAAGACAAATTTGCAGGGCGAGCCTCTGCTATGCATTAAAGAATGCAATCACACGTCCCCACGCCTCCTGTGGGTCTTTCTTCCAGCTAAAAGCTTTGTCCTTTTTTTCACCTTTTTTTGCACTCGCCAATTGCTAGATTTTGGGCAAGTGTAGATCCTGTAGTCGCCAAAATGGATGGGGTCTTGGGCCTCCACCCCGGGATACTTCAGATTGCACTTCGTTTTGGGTGATGTCTTTGGAGGCTGTTTCTCCTTCTTGGGTTTTTTGGCCTTGGGTTGTGCAGGGGATGTCTTTTTTTCAGTTTCATTTGATCGTTTGGCAGGTGGAGTTTTGTTGTGTTCCAACTGCTCTCGCACTTTTCTTTCCATCTCCTCAAGGCTTTTGTTAGGAGGTGTGTCGACTGGCAAGGCTTCAGCCTGCGGTTTCTCAGGCTCGGGTGTTGTTTCTGTGTTCTTTGCTTCCTTTCGTTCTGGGGCTTCACCCGGGTGCTCCTCAAGTGAGCCATCCATAAGGGCTAAGGGCAAGGGCCTTTTCCTTCTCAAAAGGCGAACCTCAGCATGCTGTTCATTTGGTAGTGCCAACTGGTTCCGCATGAACTCCATCAACTGTTGAGAAAACAGGTTTTCCTTAATGTAGTCATCTCGGTGGAAATTGTTTTTCCTTTTGTTGGACAAAGTCGCCCGAGTATTCCTGGCTGGGAGATCCTCTGCCAGCATTTGAAGCGCACCTATATCCAAAGGACACTTCACAGGTGTATCCCCGTCAGGGTAGGCTGTGTTGTAAATGTCCTCAGGCATTTCATGCGGGTACATGGGGTAAAGCAAGATGTCACTTCGTCGGGTCCTTTTTGTGATGTTTTTGGTCATTGTCTTGAAGTCTTCCAGCATGGATCTTGTCCTGTGATGTGCAACTATCAAATTTTCTGGAGGCCCTTGATGACCAGCCAAAAGTACAATGGAAAGTCCCAACACGCTAGTCACCTCACGTGGGCAGGTAAGGCCCAGTAGCCGAAATCGATTGCACACCACCTGGAGCTTCGTGTTTTGACTGTGGCTGGAACTTCGCAAGGTATTCCACTCCTCTTCAGTGAAATAATTTTCCAAGTACTTGTTGAGCTGAAGTTTGTTTTTTGCAGTCTGCCCTCCTTCGTCTTGTTCTCGAGGTTTGTCAGCTGTGAGAGTAAGCACACAGTCTTGAATTTCCCTTTGCATCCATTGGGGAATGTTGGCACCCTGAACATCTTTCAGCATTTGGGTAGCCTCAGTCATGGAAATGGCTGGTGTATTCTTCAAATCCGACAAGCAGCTTTGCAGCATGTTCTTTTGACTTTGCTGGACTTTGTCATTGCTCTCGGTCTCAACCCCAGACGACTTGAGAGCAGTGAGGAAGTCCAGCGTGTCCTTCAACCGTTTAGCAGCCATGGTGCAAATGGCTACCCAAATCCCCCAGGCGAGCCTTGGGAATCAGTTAACACCTTAACGAGCACAAAATGCGAGGGAAAACATCGATGCTGTACATGCAAGAGCCAACAAACATTGAACATTAAAGGAAACATGTCTGTGTGGAATTGTCGATGCACAGATGTTAAATTGAATGCTTGAAAGACATACCCAAAGACACACAAGCTGGCTGGGTCCTTTTTCCCACCCATGCGCCTGTCAAAGTCAAAATTCATCTGTGAAAAGCGATGCGCAATGTGGCGTTTGCTTTTGTGGCTCGAATCAGGAGCTGGAGGACGATAGGAAATTGTACTTGTAGCGCTGGAGGGCGGGCTGCTTCTTCATAGTTTTTTTCACCTTCTTTGTAGTCGACTTGGGGCTTTTGCGAGCTGCAGGGCGCTTCATTCCCTTCTGCTTCTTAGTCTTCCCCTTTTTTGGGTCTTGGGCTCCTTTTTTTGCACACTCCTCCATGTAGAGGTCGAACCGCTCCAAACAGCTTTGGCACCCATCGATGTTTCCTTCGGCCTGCAAACTTTTGGTGATGCTGTCCTTCAAAACTAGAAGGATCCCATGTAGCACAGCAATCAAAAGTGGTACAGGGTAGGCATTCCCACTTGCCTTGATTCTCACAGTGTCTTTGCTTTTTAGGAGGACATCCTTCCCAAAGCCTTGCAACACCATGCGCTCACTTGGGTGCAGGAAACGAAAAAACTTCCTGTCCTGGTCTTTTTTGTCGAAGTCCATGCTGGAAACAAACAGGTACTGGTTGTTCGTTGTCAGGGTGGGGCAAAGGTTGGTGGTATATCGCCGTTGGTAGACTTTGCCGTCTGCCCTGTCCAATGGGAACACTACCAGGTCAGAATCTTGGACCTCACCCTTTTCCAACATAGTCTTCAAACATTTCTCCGCGTCCTTCAAGTTTTGTGCCATTACTTTTGTCAGCTTGGATCTCGATGTGCAGGGTAGGTCCGGGCTCAGGAACTCATGTAAAGTTTTTTCACCAAATGGCTCCAGGGCAGGTGGGACCCCATTGGGAAAAGAGCTTTTCCTCACTCCCCTCAAAAACACCCTGACCCGCTGCTGTGCCAAATTAAAGTCAGATGCCTGCAGCTGTGTTACGTCCCAATGGAATTCACACACTTCCCGGGTTAAGATCCTCAGGACTTGATCCATGAAAGACTCTTCAAGTCTTTTCCCCTTTTGTACAATGCCCTTTACATTCTCTAGGCATACTGCATAGAGGTCGCCAACCTTGACCAAAGCAATGACAATGCGCAACACTGCCACAGACACTTCAGCCCTGCAGTCGCTTTGTCCTTGATGATTTCCGTTTCCAGCCCATGGTGGGCATGGAGGCCCACTTACAAGCAGGTCGACTGGTCGCTCCAAGTCTTGGAGCGACGCTTGGCATACATCCCCAGCAACTTTGCCCAGGTGTAGTTCGCAGCCAAGGCTGGAAAGGTGATCTCGGTAGCGGGCCTCAAGATCATAAACATTGCAGGCCTGCCACTTTACAGACAAGGCCTTCAGAGCTTCCCCAGCCCCATCAATGCCAACACAAGGCATGGCCACTCGCAATGGCCTTTTCCAACCTTTGATGGGTACACATTGTTGTGACCACTTGTTAGGTTCAAGGGCTGTCCTCACCCCTTTGCTGGAAGCCGGTGCCATGGGTGGGAAATTCTAAGTGGGCGAGCCTCACTACACACTCACACAAGTCTTGAACAATAAGTGGCAAACACAATTTGGGACCACTTTTTTGTAGACGTGTTAAATGCTGGGATCAACGATGTTGTTTTGTTTGCTTAGCAAAGCTGAATATTTTTCCACTCGGGTTTGGTTGTTTTGTATCCACCCCAACCCCCCTGACAGCGCACACACGTTCTTATGAACTTTTTTTTGTCATTGCCTGCGCCCCATCGCATACCATTTGATTTGGTAAAAGCTCTTGCACAGTTGCAAAAAGGCATTGCATTAAAAAAACGCATCGCCAAGCAACTTCTTTTAACGGGTCAAAAAAAAATGGACCCTCTCAAGCCTATATATGGCATATTGTATCTTACTTCTCTGAAGCAGGTGTAGGTTCAGAGTTTTGGGTCGGTGAAGCAGCTGGGGATTCAAACACTTTAAGCCTTTTAAGCTTTGCGGGCTTGAAGTCACCAAGATCTTCACTGAGTTGGGCAGACTTGTTCATCTTGTCCGTCTTGTCCTCCTTTGTTTCCATCTTGTCCTTGTGCTGGGCTTCCGCTGCTTTTTCTGCCAAATATGCTCGCCATGTTTTGTCCCAAGGCTCCCAAACCTCCCAGCCCTCAGCAAGGGCAGTGGAAGCTGAGCTTTCCTCATCTGAAGAATCAACTTCGCCCAAAACTAATGTTCGCTTTTTCAAAAGTCTTTCGATCTCGTTCTCAGCTTTGCGTTCTTTCTTGGCCCCTTCCATTTGATCAACTATATGTTGTTTCAAAGCTGATGCAGGCGAGCCTTGCATTTTTTTGAACCAAAACTACACGGGACTGTGCATGGTGTGATGTATGTCTTAGTGCAATCGAACGTGTACCCGCTTCAACATTCTTGGAGGTCACTTTCAACCACATTTGGCGAGGAAGATTAAACATCCAGGAAAACATCAAGAGTGTGGTTGAAGAATGAATATTGACATCTAGTTTGGAACCTTAGCCAATCCTTTGTTTCACTGTCCAATAGTATGGTTGCGATACATTAGGTAAATGACACCCAACTTGGGTCATCTCTATTAACAACTGAGGCTCGCCCAGTTGAAAACACATGTACGTCGACTTGCAATACTGTTTGAAACATGATATAAGTTTATAGGGTGAACAGGAGTCAACAAATCAATATAGGCTTTTATGTGGCCATGAGCTTGGCGTGATACTCTGTTGATTCTTTCGATATAACCCGTTATAACCCTGATATGGCCCTGATATGGCCCTGATACGGCCCTGATACGGCCCTGATACTCTCCTGATACGGCCCTGATACGGCCCTGATACTCTCTCACGATACTCTCCTTTTGTTGAAAATTATTTTGTTTTTTATTTTGTAAAGTTGTCAAAATTGTTCATGATGTTTCATTTGACAACTGTTTCAAAACCACACTGCTTCCCCAACCCTTCCGCACCGTTTCCCCTTTTGAGCGCACCGTGCTTGTTCATCAGTCAGTCAAAGGTGAGTACCCTTGAAGTCAAAATTTGACACATCCGTTCCCACAGCGAAAGGTCTGTAGGCAAGGATGTGCGGGCGAGCCTCGCAACATCTCGCAACTAGGCCTTGTGAAGTTCTCAGCCAGTTCAACCTGGCTCCTCAACCTGGAGTAGGCTTCGTTGATCGAAGAAATATGGCCATCCAATTCCTCAATGAGAGGATTTGCGTCCCCCTTCCCAGCATCAATGCAGGCCTGAGCTTTGCTGATGGCACTCTGAGCGGCAGCTGTCACACTCTCAGCAGCTGTCGCCACATATTTTGGGATCATATCCCCCAATGATCCACACTTGGTCAGCAAGCTGCTGAGCTGAAGGCACTTGGCATTGGTGGCGTCCATTTTCTTGGTCAACTTTTTCTTGGCCCCAGCCTTGAGCTTGGGTTCTTCACCTGCTGGCAGGGATGTGTTTTTATCCTTCTCGCCTTTCTTTCTCTTGGTAGGTCCCATGTCCGTGTTGTCGTCCAAAACTGCCTGCCCCTTTCTTTTCTCGGAATGTCCCAGCTCCATGGAATCTGAAACCTTGCTGGTGTATTTAGGGTCAGCGTACAACTGGACCCTCTTGATTGGGCAGTAGTACTGACGGGCGTTCTTAAGGATGTTCTCCAAGACATCAGGTTTGTTCTTGTACTTCTCCTGGAGGTCGTGTTCATCCAAGAACTCACCATCAGCACTGAACTCGAAGCGGGTAACGCTGACTTTCCAGTCTTGTACCACTTCTTCAACCTTTTTGCGCAAATCTTCCCCGCGAAGGTGAGCGTTCTCTTGGTAGAAGGCAGTCAGTCGATCACCCTCAACTTTGCTCCAATCTTTCACCAAGTTTCCATTGTTCTTTTTCAGTCGTTCAATGGCCGACCTGACGTTGTGGCATGACCTGCATCGTCGAATGTCCGTAGGCGTTTTGTTCGATGCCCGGACAATCACCAAAGAATTTTCGATGTCCACTGGTTTGTGGCAAGTGCAACAGCGTGTACTTACAAGTTCATCTTCTGTCTGGAGGGCCGCATCGCCCAAAGACTGGACCTCTGATACCTCACTTGGTGTTGCCATTTTGAAAGAGGCGAGCCTTCTTTCTATAGAGATTTCCACACCCAAGCTGGAGCCCTAAAGATACCATTTTCAAAGGTGCAGGACTGACTCCATAAGGTGTAAGTTGAAGGTAGTCCACAGACACGTTTCTATTTATCTCTCTGTTTAGTCTATTTTTTGTATTACATCTGTCTTAATGAGCCCTAAGTAAGTATATTTCTAGTTTATTTCACAGCCGTTTGTTGAAAGGGCTTCTCCCCTTTCAAATGTTACCTACAATCAAACAACTAACCATTTGGTAGAAATTTAATACTATGTTCAAAAGCGTCAATCCTGAACTGGGTGGACATAGCACACAGAGCTCAGCAGCATTTTCCCCCAAGAACTCAAAGTTGTCGGTCAGCTTTGATCGTTCCCCTTTAGTGACCCCGGGCCAGCCTCAGGGCTTTTTGGTCAAATGACCCCAAGCACACCTGGATAGACCCGCAAGATCTTTTGGTGTAGATCACAGGCTTCAAACCTGAGTGCCATTCCAGCAAATATTCAGCGTCTGTTCGGTCGAACAGGCACTCTTTTTTCCATTGGTAGATGGAAACTTGCGCCAAGAATTTCTTGGCACCTGTAGTTAATGTAACCTCGAGGAAGAAAATTGGAGCCACCAACTCCCCTTGCTCAAGGTCAAGTAGCATATCACCCAAAGAGATCACCCCAGTCTCGCTCATCATTTTTTTGCTAGTGTGCACGACCATGATGTCGGAGCTCCAAAAAGCTAATAGTTGAGGCCCTTCAGGAATTTCACGTTTGACACCCAATAAATGTATTGGGCACAGGATCGTGTCAGTGTCTTGGAAATCTGCGAGGATTTCTTGGCCCATCCTGTCAGCTGTGTGCTCGCACAAATGGTCGTTCAAAACATGGGCCGCCACAGTTTTAGTAGCCCGATGCTTGCGCTCTGGTGCAAAGCAAGACATATTGGCCTGGAACTGTCTGAAATTCTCCGGAATATGATACAACCAGTGGAATTTCAGTTTGCAACATCCAGCATAAAGTTTCTTGAAGAGAACTCCATGTTTGTCAATGCTTTCCTCCAAAAAGTTAAGCATCAATAAAGCTTTTCCTTGCTGGGTGACAATGTCCAGAATATCTCCCAAATGCCGCATTGATTGGCAGTGATCGGGCAGAACGCTACAGGGTTGCAAAACCGTATCGCAAAACAAAACCACAATTGGCACAGCAGTCAGAACCTCGGAGGAAAAAGTTTTCATCGGGCTGTTGTCCTCCATGTTGAGCCGGTCCAGAAAAAAGTTTCTTGGCAAAGCCTGCCTAGATTTTGGCACAACCATAAGGCTGGCAAAATCATTGAGCACTTGGAGGGAAATTCCAGTGCTCTGCAAAGATTTGAGGAACTCATTCAGCTCATACTGAGCAACACCGCCCGAAGCAACAAGCACATGCATCCAGTCAAAACTAGTCTGCTGGATGGGACATAGCTGTGGACCCAGAACAGGGTGCCACAATGGACAAAAAGGAGAAAACTGCAGCCCATACAATTGCCCCAGCCGATTGCATTCTTTTTTGTTTGGCGCAGCTTGCAACTTGTGTCTCATGGCAAGCAGCAGTTCAGTGGTGTTGGGAGCGAAAAGGTGCCTGTCAGCACAACTGTAATGCACAATCCACCCCACATTTGCTTCTTCGACTTGTTCGGCTGTCATGTGCCCTACCACGTTTTGACATTTCACACATGGTTTTGTACCACTGGCTCCCCGCAGTGACCACATTGCACTCATAGCTTTCTCATCGCACAAAAGTAATTTGAAAGGGGCTTTCAGCACAAAGGTGCCATTGGCACAGGAACATGGAATTCCACACCCAAAATTCCAAGGGTCGTTGGTATAGAACACTTCCAGCATTTTTGCGAAAAGAAATGTAAAGCCTCCCTGCAGTTTCCCAACCAGTTTCGTTGGAAAACAGGCAAAGAAAAACCAACCATCTTGCCTGCAATGATACCATGGTGGCAAATTGAGAAATGTCCAATAGAAACAGGCTATGGATCTTCCAGGGTCTGGTCGGAGAACATTGCCCGGTTTCATTTCGTCCATGTAAATGGCGACGCTTGGCCCCCCATTACCTTGGATCAAATTTCCCATTGCAGGTCGAGCCTTGCATAAACGGTTCACTAGGGCTGCTGGTTGGAGGTAGTGCCATTTGAATGGAACCCCATCGACACTCAAAGTGAGAAATCCGTTGATTTTGCCACAGGGACCTGGGCTTTCTAAATCTCGAGTGACTTCCGTTCGGATCTTTTTTCTTTGATGAGAGTCGCTGGCGCCCTCATTGCCCAACAACGCAACATAGTCTCGGAAAGTCACATTGCGAGGCAATTTTCGAGCTGTGTTTTCATCAGCCCCCGCTTTGCAAGGAAACATGGCAGGAGGCGAGCCTTCCCGCAAAACTAACTACAGAAGCCAAAAACCAGCGGACATAAAACAAATGTTTCAAAGTTCACACACCCCAAATTGATGCAACTCAAAGGCATTAGATTTAGTCTATTTGTTTCTTTTCTTTCTCCTATTTCTAGTGATTACAAATCACACCATATCATAACCCTGCGCTCCCTTCCTCTGGGCCTTTTTTCTTTTTTCTCCCTTCCGCTGCGCAAGCCCTGTCTGCAGATTTGATCAGGCTGGGATGGGTCGAGCCTCACCCTTTGCAAAATTGTTCATCCTGTCTTCCTTTGTCCGGAAAAGGAATTTCTTCAGGATCTTCCAGGCCCGACTCATGTTCCAGGGGGCCAATATGAGTCAAAGGCAGGCATGGTGGGGACGCCGGCGAAGTAGGAGAATCCACAGGTGATCGATCTCCGTTGTAGTCAGGCGCACTGCTGTCCTGGCAGCTTGGGGTGAAAAATTGTGGGGGGGCATAATCAAAACTTGACACATGTGAAAACTTGACAAATGAACAAAGGAAAAATCACCAAAAAAACAAGAAGCCTTGCATGCAATTTGTCGCACAGCGAAACAAATGTCGGGCCTCAGATGGCGATGAAGCAGGTTCGTCCTTGGCGTTCTTGGGAACTACCTTCTGCTCGGTCTCGGCGTTTTTTGGTTCGCTTCCAGGTTCTTCCTCTTCTTTCTCGGTTTCCTCTTTTTGCTCTGGAGGAGGCGAGTCATCTGCACTCTCATTCTCTCTCTCTCTCTCTCTCTCTCTCCACGCCTTCCTCTTCTTCGCTTCCTTTTTCTATTCTCCAACTCTGTGAGCCTCTCCTGGTTTTCTTCGGCCTTGTCATGGGCCTCATGAGCTTCTTTGGAAGCCTGTTTGGCCAGGTTCAGCGCTTGCTGGGTCGCACCCCAGGTCGTGTGCAGCTGCTGCTGCAAAAGATTCAGCTGCTGGCACAACAGACCATTTTGACGTCGCAGCTCCGCAACAGCTGGATCTTCTGCCCGGCCCCCTTCAGTTCCATTGGCCCTGATTCGTTCCAGGGCCATCCGCTGGGCGTTGGCGAGGTGTTGCGACGGGCCTGACAATGTCAGGCACCGTTCTGCCCACTGCTGCCGCCACCTTACGCAGGCTGACACGCCGTATTCTTGCCAAATATCGTTCCTGTCCGTGGTGCTTAGGGTTCCTTGTCCACCTGGAAGTCGAATTGGACCCATGTACGCTTTCGGTTCTTGGGGGGCTTGTCCTCCCCATTGTCTCTCATCTTGTCTGCCCGCCATCGCGGGCACCAATGCGGGCGAGCCTCGCATCAATGATTGAAGAATTTGAGCAACATCAGCGGAAATTTGGACATAAGTTTTACGTGCGTCCTCCCGCAGCAACTTATAAGTTGCAATAAGTTACTTGTATGTGACTTAGTACGTGTTTTGTACGTTGCCCCAACTTAGCTTATAACTTCCTTAAGTAAATACATCTAACTTATAACCTTGAAGGAACTTGTAACTAAATTAAAAATACATAAGGAGTTAAGACCTTAAGATGCCCAACTTACAACTAATTTTAATATACTTGTAACTGATGTTATAAGTCCACAAGCCCAAAAAGCATTATAGTAGGCATGAAGCGGGGCCAGTGAGCTCTCCTGCAGCATGATCATGGCTGTCGTGAACACCCGGTAACAAGCCCTCCATTGCGTGAAGTTGGCGGGACCTGGTAGTTCCTTCGACAAAGTGGGTATCCATGTCCTGTACTTGGATGCCCTCAAAGCTTTCCTCCCGAAAGGAACGAACACTCCAAAGTCGCAGTAAGGAGGTTTGCCGAGGCTCAGCTTCTTTCGAAGGGCTGACAGCTGCTCTATCGTGGGTTCCTCTTCTTCCTCTGGAAGTGCACCTGTCGTGTTGATGAACTTCTGTAGCAAGCCCATCTTGTCTTCCTCGTTCAAGACCTCGAACTCTCCATCGTCCCCCTGGTCGAGGACTTGGGTGAACTTGAGAGTCCTCTCCTTCGTGTCCTTCTTGGAGTCGATGGGTGCTGTAGTCCGTTCTGTTGAGCTCGGATGGGATGAAGATGTCTTCCAAGGGTCCTCTTCGGTCCAGTCGTCCCACTGCCCCCCACCTCGTACGAACATCAGTCGCCTCGCCAATTTCCACACCAATCCCACCTGGGCGGCTTGAATGGCAGTCAGATGGGAGGTGTCGTCCAAGGTGGCCTGAGTCAGGCTGGCAGCGACCACGGGCCCAGGGAGGGCCGCGAGTAACCGGAGATCGTCGCCTGGATTGCCAGCTTCGGTCGTGAAGGCCGTCCACAAAGCAGGGGCCACCTCGAAATGGGACAGGAGGTCGGACACCTTCGTCATCGTCAACGCCCCCCCCAAAAAGGGGGGAGAAACAGCGCTGGGTGGCTTGAGCCAAAATGGCATTGCCACCCAGCCTTCCCCACCCAGTGCTCCCATGGACTTGTCATGCGGAAAAACTTCGTTTTGCCTTCAACAAATTCACATCCTCAGCAAAATCAACCAACGACAAAAAACAATCTGAAGCTGCAATTTGAGTCCGACAAAGAAGCAAACAAATAGCAAAACAACATCGCAACGTGAATAAATATTGATGAATGGATTGTCTCGACCCAGTCCAGGCTGTCATGGTCCCCACCAAGAAATAGCCCTTCAAAACGGGCCATTCCTGCGCAGCGGACGGGACGGGAGCGCAGTGACGGGACAGGAGCGCAGCGTTCGATGAGATGTCTCAGCGTGGAGATAACAACTCATCTGGATCGTCGACCCGCTGATTTTGACGACTCATCTGGATCCAAATCTTCAGATCGTCAAACATTGTGATCTGAGATCAAACAAAGCAGGACGGCCCAAGAAATGAGCAAGTCTCGTTGACATACCACTTGGTGTTTGTTAAACTCTTGAACAGCTGCGACTTGTGACTTGTGCCCTTTCACTCTTTTGAAAACTAGATCTCTTGGAATTCCCGTTTTTGATGCATGTCGAAATAAATCATCATATCGTTGTTTTGTGTTGTTTATCACCTGGGTTTGGTCCCTGTGGGGCTCGGTCACTGGGTGTTGGCGAGTTTGACATCGGGCTTTTTATCCGCCCAGACTCTGTGAGAAGACGGGCGCGCGGCGTCTTTCCAGACAGAAGAGATTTACCAACACACGGTGTTTCTGAACATGTTGAACACCCCAAGCCATCACCTTGGCGGATTGAGGGTTTGCTGCCCCAAAAATTCTAGAATGAGCCCAACTCGGCTGCACACCCAAACTCGGCCTGGACCAACGTCACCTGAAATCCTCAACCATCCAAAAACGTCCCAAAACATCAGTGCAGTTTCGGGCTGTTGCATGTTTTTACACGTAAAACATGGGAGCTCCTTCCATTTCTAGCGGATCTTAAAATATCTTGAAACTCCGAAAAAACAGAAAGGGGGAGGGGAAGACTCTCTTTGAGGGTTCCTCAGGATTCCTCATGCCTCTCGTGATCTTTAGACGCCGCCCTTCACAGGCCATGAGGTGGCCGTGGGTCGTGGAGTCACGGTAGGTTGACCTCGTTTGGTCCATTCATATCCTCCTCGTTCATACCGAGGTATCGCCTCCTCAAAGAAGTCTAGTAAGCTTCTAAGACTGTTTTAGGAAGTTTCTTGTTACTACAGTTACTACAGGTGAAACGATTCCCAGTGATTCCCAAGGAAGTTTCTATATATATATAGTCCATAAGCCTTCTGCTTGGCCGTGACTTTGACCCACGCATTCGACCACCTCAAACCTCTCGCCAGGTCCGGGACAAGCGCAATGCCACTCTGATCAGAGAAAGCCTCGATTGCGGTCATCAGCGGTACAAGAGTCCATTGTGCAGGTGGTCTGACCCGGGACCTGAATGGAAAGCATCTGATGAGAAGTATGAGAAGGTTTGAAAATGTCTCAAAATGGGTCTGGTAAGTTCCACTGGCAACTTTGCAAGTTCGCCTTACATTATGTAAGGCCAGAGTGCCAAATACTTCTAAAAACTGATGTGGACATGTTTTTCTTCTAGCTGCAACCTGACCAGAAACTGGATTATCTAAAGCAGGCTGCGGCGAGGAATCCTGAATCAGCTGCTGTGAGAAATCCTAGACTTGGTTGTTGTGGTAAAATAGGGAGACACATGCTCAAGTAAGCAAATGGT